TCCTGCACCCCTGTCTTGGAAACCTGCTCCCTCAGCCTCAGGCTGCCCACCACTGCCTCTGTCTCGACCAAGGAGAGATCTAAGGGTTGGCAACAGGTCCTCCATGCCACATATTCTTCTCCCAGGACAAGGAGGGCCAGTCTTGGGTTTCGCATTGAAAAGCGGTAGCGGCTGCTTTTAACCCCTTCTGTTGCCTTCATGGTCCAGTGTGACAGGGCGTGGGGGACCAGCTTTCCAGGGACCTAGTCCATTGGGGCTGGCATAGAAACACTCAGCTGGTCCCATGCCCATATTTCTCCCCCAGCAGTTCAGGGGCCTCATTTATTCCTCCCAGGATTCGCTGCTCCCCAGGTGGGAGCCCTCAGAAGGTCTTGGCTCACAACTATTTCAGCCCCCATGATGTTTCATGAGGGAAAATATTTCCCAGCAGATTTTCCAGGTGGGATGAGGGGGGCAACAGCAACCCCCCACCTGGGACAATACCCAGCTCCCCCATCACACTCATGACCCCCCAGCATCTCCATCCATGGGACATTTAATCCCCATCACAGCCCAAACCCCACACGTGAGACAGAGACAAAGCCAGGTCTGGTGCACAGCTGGGCACAGCTGGAGGGTATCTGCAGTGGGGACAAGCAGTGGAGGGCAAGGACTGGTGGTGACACACATGCCAGGCCCCCCCAGCCTGGCAATTCCTCTGCACTGGGAATCAGCTAAGCCTTGCCAGTGGCTCACAGTAAGCGAGCTTCTGCACTGAGAGCCCGACCCCAGGTTTGCAGTTTCACTGGCAAAGTCCTTCAGTGTCTTAAAAACCAAAACCCACAACATTTTTCTGGGGTAAAATGCAGCAAATCCCCAGATCCAACCTGCTGCTGGGTCTGGACCACCAGACACCATGCAGCTTGTGAGGGCTGTTCTGCAGTCATCCAAATACCTTATTTGTGCATTTAAACACCCGAAGTCCTTTTTACATTTAAAAAAAAAGATATCCTGATGGCTACAAAGGTCCAGTTTGAAACAGAAGCACCAATGGCACCTCAAGATGAAGTCCACAACCCCAGGAGATGCAACTGGGCTTTTCCTCTGCCTTCCCCAGCCCCTCAGTACCACCCTTTCCGGGGATGCTGTGCCCTCTTTGCCCAGCTTTCTGGGCTGGATGGAGATAACACGGACACAAAGTTGCCTTTCCCATCTTCATCCTCCTCCTTCCCACGGCTGCAATAGTGCCCCAGGGAGGGACCCTCAGCATTCCAGCTGGTCCCTCAAACACATCACAGCACCGACCAAAGGGAGCTCAGCCAGCTTCTCCATCGCCTCGTTACCTTTCCCTGGCATCTTCTCTTGCAGGAGGCTCTGTGAGCAGGTTGATAAACGCAAGGCGCCGCGCTCCGACAGCTCCTGGTGTGCAGCCACCTCCTGCAGGGAAGAGCCTGCTGGCAGCCAGGCCAGGGGAGCGAGGGGGGTGTGGAAGGGCCGTGTTGGGAGCCTGATGTTAGTCCAGCTTTGCACAAACCCATCCAGGCCAACATCAGCCCTGCAGGGCGAGCCCCAACGTCAGCCTCCTGTTTGTAGGAGAAAAATCAGCTGAGGGTTTTTAACCCACGTGCATCCTAAACTAGGACTTCGGGAAGGAGAGGACCTGGGCCTGTGCACTGCCAGCACAAATCCAGAGCTGTCCCTGGAAAGGCAGGGTGGCATCTGGGTGACACAGCCTGCTTGGTCTGTTCCCACAGGCACCTGCATCTCGATAATGGCATCTGACGTCAGACAGGACAAACACAGCACCAGGCCCTCGGGTCCCTCTGCCAGAGCTGAGTCTTGCAGGTGACACTTGCGACTCCTGAGATTTGTCTTACACCCATTCCTATTCCTGTACTGGTCTTGCATCCATCCCTGTCCTGTCTGTTGATTGCTAACCTCCTCTTCCCAAGAAGTCTGGCCAAAAATCATGGAGGTCTGAGCCCAGCTGCTCCTAATCCTGGGCACCCACCTGTCCCTCTGGGTCTCACTGAAGAAGTAAACACAGGTGTAGATCACCTTCTCCCACTCTGTGACTCCCAGGGCCACCCCACCATCCCCACCTCCCCTGTCTGCTCCATCCCATGGGGAATTCGGGAATTTGGTGCTTAAACAACCACACAGAGCTGGCCCGTATCTTGGATCCCAGCAGCCATAAAAGCAATCGAGGCAGGGAGCAGAGCAAGGAGAAGGGTGGGACAGAGACCATGGGGATGGTGCTATGGGTAGTACATGCCTGGCACATATCAGGCACAGCTCCAGTCTGGCACAGCTCTGCTCTGCTGTCACCACATCCTACCCTCAGAGTAATTAAGGAACAAAAATAAACAGGAATGGTTTCATCCCTGCAGGGATAATTCCTCCCCTTGGGGTGATGTGTGCCTGCAGGGCTGCCCCAGAGGTTGGGGATGAGGCAGACAAAGCTGCTGGAAATGGAAATTTCCCAAGAAGGGAGGAAGTTGCTTCTTTCCTTCGCCCTCCAACAACTTTATTTGCTGCTGTCATATCCCTAAATAACTCCTGGAAGTAGCTGCTGGGAGTTTACATCTCCACCTCTGCTCCCCTCTTGACCTTGAGCTCATGCAGCCCCAATTCCCAAAGTAATTCATCCCAAGTAGAGGGAAAACCTCTGGACTTACAGCACCACTGCCTGACCCAGCACAATCCTCTGACCACCAGCCAGACTTTGGTGAGTGCAGAACCCTGGGATCTCCAAGACTTGGAGTGGAAACCATGAGCCTCTGGTGGATCTGGAGCCAAGGATGCTACTTGGGGTGAAAGGGTGATGTTATGCCAGGAGGGAAGTGGCTCCCTGGGCGCAGTGGGGCTCATAACCCGCTCCAGTGACCCAGAGGTTGGTACCTCAACCTGTCCTCCATCCCTGCCTGGGGCTGGGGATGGATCTGGAGGGAAGAGCACATGAAGTGTGAGAAGACATGCCCGGGAGAGCAAGCGGCGAGGGTGGTCAGAGGCAGGGGCCGATGCCGTGCTCAGCCAACACGCTGAAGTCAGCACTCTCCGGAGCCATCTGTTCCCGGCGAAGCCCCGGCGCAGACGGACTCGCCCCGGCCCCCGGCAGCGGGTGCCGCAATTCGGTGATTTCATGCGGCGAGGGGACGGCGTAAAGCCGGACACCGCCTCTGCGCCGCGCCGGCTCCGGGGACGGGGCTGGAAAATCGTGTATTAGCCACGCTGGGGAAAAGTCTTTTCAACCATTTTTCTGGTCGCGTGAGCTGGCTTTTAAATAGCAACACAGCTCCTCAGTGCCGGGCCAGAGATCCAACTCAAGCTGGTTTTTTTCCTTATTCCAGAGCACAGGAAATCTCCCACTTCATGGACTCTGAACGCTCGTTGGAAAAGGCCAAGTTCATCAAGCAGCCTACTAGCAAAGCCAGCGGGAGCTCTGCACTTGTCTTCTGGGAGTAATTGGAAAATGCAGCATCAACAGGAGCTTTCTGGGGTGTCTCAGACCTGTCTCCCCAGGATGAAAAGTCTCAGGGCAGCAAAGAGTCTTCAGACAAAGAAAACCGAGGCACAGCAGTGCAAAGCAGCAAGAGGAGGTTGCAAAGACCCGACTGAACCTGTGCCATCACCCCGGCGATGACGAGTTCTCTGCCCCATATCCAGCCTGGCTGCCTTGCAGAGCAGCACACAGACAGCAAGGAGAATGTGGGGCAGGGAGCCACAGGGAGGGACCGTGCAGCCACGTCCAGCCGCTCTCGAGGCCATCGCTCACCAGATGCTGACCTCCAGCAGCTTTGTGCAGCCTCATTAAAGCTAAGCTGAGCCATAACTCATCCAAGCAGGGCAGTCCACATGAAGAGCTGGCAGCGACAACTTCCAGCGTTTCAGGCCTCTTTCCAACAGGAGTCGAGTGTCACTCACAGCTCCTTACCTGTGTCGGAAAACGGCCTTGGAGCTGCTCCTCTGGCAGCTCAGGAGAGCAGAGGGCGAGGGGGTGGCTGCCTGACAGGGGTGCCCCCCTCTCCCCTCGGACCACTGCGGTGGGGACAGACCTGGAGCAAACACGAGGTTATTTATGCCTAAAAGCAGAACCCGAATGCGAAACGGGAGCCTGCGAGGACCACCCACCCGCCCGACTGCCCGGAGCCGGGGAGGCAGCAGGAGAGCTGGGACGCCCCAGCCCCGGAGGTGCCAGGTCACCCCTCCATCCCCGCTCAGCCTCTCCGCTCCCCGGTACGGCCTCCCAGCGCCACCTAACGACACGGGCCGGGGACAAGGACCTTCCCGGCAAAACCGGACACATCCCGGTCTCTCTCGAGAAGGATGGAAAGCAGGGGCAGGGATGGGGAGGAAGGAGGCAGCGGGACACCTGGCTGCGGCCTGGGGGCACAGGCAGCAGAGGAAGAGGGAGCTGGAGGTCTTGAATAAGGACTTACATGATCGCAGTGATCCCTTCTTTGCCCATGAGGCTCAGTCCCCCATCCCTGCCCTTCACTGACCTTCATCATCCCATGGCTTTCCCACAGATCAGCATTAACCCCAGGGCCTTGGCCAAGTTCAGGGTTGAGCAAGGTCACTGAGCTCAGCAAGGACAGACACTCCCCTTAATCTGTTACCACAGCCCAAAAACTACCCTGAAGCATCCTCAGTTTGGGAGCAGCCGCTTGCTCTGCTCAGCAGGAGCACAGTGGCCTTTACCACAGCTACAAAAGCACCCTGACATCAACATTCAAGGCGACGTGGAAGAAAACCCTCCGGAAGAGCCAGCTCATCTCTTCCCAAAACCTTCAGATTTGATGAAGCCACAACAACCCCTTCACCATCACATTTCTGGCTGGGCTGTCAACCCAAATGGCTGCTCCCTACACTGGGTGCAGCCTCCTCACCTCCACACCCCCCTCCCAAAGCTCTGATTCACCTCAAAACCCAGAGCTGATGTAATCTCCCACTCAAGAGTTCAGCGTTAAGGCTGCATCAGCCATGAGACGTAACGAGAGCCACATCACACAAGCAGCTGTTCCACAAAAGCTTTATTGCTCGTTTGCGTACGAGTTCCCAGTATCACATTTCCCGAGTTTCTTAATGAGCTTGCAAATGAGATTTAAATAGAAAAGGATAGGAGAAAAAGAGGCAAAAATAGAAGTCAGAGATCTCCCTTCCTTAAGGCTGGGACAACAATGGGGTGGGAATACAGTGCCCTGTGGGCAAGTCCTCTGCCCTGGGAGAGGGCTGGGCTGAGATGGAGGTTGAGTGTGGACAAACCACCGTTGGCTGCCCTGGCTCAGTTTTCCCTCTGCCTCCACCACAGAGCCACTGCTGCTGTCATCATTTACACAGGTCAGAGAGGAGGGGTTGCAATCCTGCAGCACTCTGGCAGGGAGCACGGGGGGGTTGGGGACAGCCAGGCAAGGGGGCCCTGCTGACGCTGCCCCTGCGCCACGGATAAAGAGGAGATTACAGCTCACGGTTTGTAATCTGGCTTAAAACCTGACACCGTCACCGTAGTCAATCTGGGCTAAGAGAAGCATTTAATAAGCTTCAAAACACACAGGCCAAAAAAATAACTCCACCAGTGAACAGAGTGAAAGGGCTCAAGGCACTGCTTGCACCAGTCAGCGCTGGCAGGTACTGATGGACACAGGATCCCTCATGATCCGGAACAAGGCAATTACATGGTTGTTATCCCAATCCACCCCATAGGACAGAACCCAGGCTCTGTCGGGGTTTAACTGTAGGAGGCAGAAAGCAAATTAATGCCCTTTTCTGCCTGCACAGAGCTCACAACAAGCGGAGGGCACCTGGTCCCTCCCTGTGTGGAGCTGCCTTGCCTTGGGACATGTCACAGCAGCCGCAGTGCTGGGCTGGCTGTTCCCAGGTTAAGGCAGTCACAGACAAAGAAGCCAGACTCAAGCAGGAGGTCCAATTTGGCTTCCCTGGAAGGGTTTATTTAAAAAACAATTATCATTAAAAGATGCCTGCTCTGGCACAAATTACAAGGCAATGAAGCCATTTGGCTTGTGGCTTAAAGGGGAGGCAGCATGACACAGGGAAACGTCTCCGTGCGACTTGCTGTGGGGAAAGTGGCTGGCAGGACTCCTCCAGGTGCACACACACCTCCCCTCACCTGCACTGCATGATTCATTAATGTTGCAAGGACTCAAACAACAGGTATCACCCCCAGGAATGGCAGCCCTGCTGCAGGGACGCAGGGCCAGCCAGCAGCCTCATGTCTTGAGGACATTCACTTTGGGAACCCAGAGTTCATCGTACCAGAGAGGCCTCAGTGTCACCAGAGTGGCCACCAGCCCTGGGCACAAGCCCTGTGCTCCCAGGCTCTGCTCACGACCCGCTGGTGTTGCCCCAGGACGGCTCCACTGGAGCAGTGCCACATTCCCACCACTGCTGCCCTAGTGACCGATCAGCCGCAGCATCTCTGCAGGATCCACGATCTTCTCTCGGGGTTTGCCAGCAGCTTTGCCTCTTGCCACTTCAGCAGCATCGATCTTCTCCCAGTCCGAGAAGGAAACAGGACGGACCCCTGAGGTGAAAGCGACAGATGGGAGAGAGAACTTAACCAGGTGAATACAAGCTCAGCCTCACCTCCCCATTGGCAGGGACCTGATGTGCCAGCAAACCTGCCCTTTTCTGACCTCAACCTCACAAAGAAGAAGTAGTTTCTAACGCTGGGAGGAGAGGGATGGTAGGTTCCAGTCAACCTTTGCGAGCTGTAACAACGGCGAGCATGGAACCACCTCAGGGGACAAAATGCTTCCAGTTCACTGTTAAACCTCAGCCAGTTTAAGAGGCAAAACACACACACACACACTTTAATTGAATGTCTTTAAACACAGCTACAGCAAATTACTCTCATGGGCATTTTAATCTTTTCTCTAACTTGCTTGGAAGGATTACTAGGAAAACCACTCAAGAGCAATAGCTCACTGTCTCGGCAGCTGACAGTGACATTTTACCCAAGGTCTGCGCTGCTTTTAATGGCCCTTCCCAGAAAGTGGTCATTAACCTTAGCAATGACACAGTGTGAGGGAATTCAAGTCCTGCTTTCCCTGGGCTTTGGAACATTGAAACAGCAGCAAAACATATTCCCACGGTTCAGACTCTGCTCCTATAAGTGGCTTGCAGGACTCGCTGCCCCAGGATACCCAGATCCAGGAGCAGTTTGGCTGCACTGTACCTTCCTGCTGGCTGCCCCACACTGACCTCGGCTGCGCAGGATGCTCTCCACAGCCCCAAAGCCTTCTCTGGAGGGGGACATGTCCAGCACACCCCCCTGGAGATCCTCCAGCACAGACTGGGCAGTGTCAAAGCTGTCGTTCATGGTGGTGATGATCACGCCCGTGGGTCCTCTCTTCACCCACCCGCTGCAGTACAGACCTGCAAGGGCACATGAGGCAGCCAGGCTCAGGTCAGCACATAGCCATGGACCCTCCTGGCTGCAAGTCCTTGTCCTGTTCCCCACCTCGGCAGTGGGAACAGACCCTTGGACGGTGCTGTCACAGCACTTTGTGTACCTGCAGACCAGCTCTAATCAGCCATATGGGCTGTGTCGCTTTAGTAACAGGATCCAGGGCCCAGTAAAACCCCCCTGCGCTAAACCAGACACCCCTAACATGAGCTGGGGATGGGCCAGCTCTTAACCCCTGAGAGAGGCAGCTCATTTCCCCAGTTTCCACTCTCCAAGGTGTGCAGCTGCCTTGTATCCGTGCCCTTGGTGAACGGAGCTTCCAACCCCAAAGCCCCCAACCCACCAGCTGCACTCGACATGCCCCACGCAAATCCCTGCGGATACAGACCTGGGACACCCTCCACTCTGCCCGAGCTGTTGGGGATGATGCCACGCTGGGTGTCGAAGGGCACGGCCGGGTCCAGCGGCAGGCTCCGGTACCCGATGCTGCTGAGCACCAGCCCACACTCCAGCTCCTCCACCTCTCCAGTGGGGATGGCTCTGGCAGAGTCACCTGAGCCCTGAGAGAAGGAGGAAGAGGCTGCTGATCCCCACAGTCACCCCTGCAGAACAGCAGACTGCTCAAGTCCTCTTTGGCATCTTTGATCCCTGGGTATTTGCTAAAGGCTGTTCTGCTGTTCCCTTTGGAAGGGGAAGCTCTCGGTGATACCAGATTGCCTCAGAGCCTGCCAGCAGCCACTCCAGTCAGACAGGAACGCAAAGCTGTCTTTGGAGAGACTCCTGAGGGATGCAACAGTGTCCTGCTCCATCCCTGCAGCCTCCCAGGGACATGCCAGCCCCCCTGAGCCTGTACCTCCAGGCGGGTCAGGGCCATGCGGACACCCCTCGCCCTCTTCCCATCAGGGGTGGGCAGCACTTCCTGGGGGCTGCGCTGGAACTTCAGACCCCACTCCCGAGGCGCTGCTGCCTGTGCTGCCTGGGCCTCCACTGGCTTCTCCCTGGGCTTCTCCAGGGCTGTTTTGATCATCAGCTCAGTCAGTCGCTTCCTGGGCCTGGGAGCATCTAAGAGGAAAAAGAGAGATCTTCATGACAGGAATCAGCAAAAGCCCCTCGGGACACAGCACAGAGCCAAGGCCACATCAAGGCAGTCTCGGTATGTGAGTCTGTCACGTCGATGGGAGTCCAACGCCTTTGAGATGACAAACTGCAAGTCAAAGTGACCAGAAGAGCCCCTGAGGCTTGAGGCCAGTGGGACACACAAAACAAATCCTGCAATTTTCCTGTCTTGCTGGTGCTCAGAGGCAGCAGCCTGTGGAGAAGAGCAGGTCTCTGGACACCCTTGAACTCAGTGATTTCCTTTTAGTTCTACAGGAAGCTCTTAAATCAACAGCCTTGCGATCTCCCCTGCGAGGTCCCCTCAGCCCTCCTGAACCTCATGCCCTCATCACTCAGAGGGTAACCACCATTCCCATGTAGCAAAGTGGCTGCACAAAGAGGGAAACAGGCTGTTCCCTTCTCTTGGTGCCTCCCAGCACTCTGAGAACGAGACACACCATGGTCACCAAGCTTTTATGTGCCAGGCATTAAGCACAGGACAAGAGGTTCTCTGACGTACACCTGAACATCTCCAGATCACTCCTGGATGCTTGTCTGCCAAGCTGAGTCCCTGCCTGGAGGAGCGTGGCACACTTCCCTCACCTTTAACAGCACTTTCGAGGCCTGTGAAGTCAGCAGGGTCCAGGACAGCTCTGGCACCAGGAAGGTTTATCATCTCCCGCAGCTCCTGGGAATTGCAGGCAGGAAGATGTTACCTCCAGAACAGGGAGGTCACCCGACAGCCCCAGGCCCCCTTCCCCAGCACTCTGGGCTGGAAGCCAGGGAATGGGTGCAGGAAGGAAGATGCCTGGGTTCCACTCCCACCCCCAAACCACCTCTCCCCAACTGGGATGGGCAGTCTGGGGCTCAACACTGGGAAACAGCTGCCCTGCAGCACCCCCAGCCTCACCTTGATAGTGAAAGCAACTTGGAGAGGTCCCCTCCTCCCAACTAGCCAGACACGCTTCACCTTGCTGCAGGCAAGAGCTGCCAGGGAGCTGTCAGTGATGTCTGTCTTCTGAAAAACAGATTCGGGAGAGGGGGATGAGGGCAGATCTGGAGGGAGCTGGGGGGAAGGCACAGCCTCTGAAGGTGAAAAATCAGCAGAAAAGCTGGCTGTGCATGCAGAGAGCCTGGGAGAGGACAGAAAACAAGTCATCTCCCTTTGCACAGAGCTATTTGCACAGCTGGTCCCTCATCACTGAATGTTCTTTCCGAGGCCATAATGCACCAGAGGTAACGAGCCAGCACCCCGTGAGACTGCCTCGGGGGATCCACCCAGGCAGGTTCACCTTGGGGCTAACAGAGCAAAGCCTTCCAGTGATCTTGATTCTGAGGTGCCTGCAGATGCTGTTGGGTGACTTCCCAGGCATACAGGCTGTGGATGAAACCTGCTGCAAACCACAGCTCAAATCACCACCTGCTTGCCCCAGGCAGCTCCAGCACAAGCACGAGCACGGTCAGGGCTCACCTGGCACTGGCACCTTGCAGCAACCCTGTGTCTGTTTTAATTATGTGTGTGTGTGTGTGTATCTAGATTGCAAGATCTTTTCCAGAGAAAATATGATGGGAGGGACACCAGGATAAACCATTCCAGACCAATATTCTTAAAAGGAAACTGCCTGCCCACCCTGGCAGTCGTTTCCAGTGCCAGGTCCTTTGCAGCACTGCTCCCAGCTGGCTTCAGCCACTGGTTCCACTGCCTCCAAGTTTAGGGTTTTTTTTTAATTTAATTTAGATAATAATACAGGCAGTTGTTGCACAGCTGTAACAAACCTCGTGGCATTTCTCCAGGAGGGAAAACCTTTGCTGCCAACATCTGGGTCAGCAGCTCTGTGGAGCAGCTGGTGCACACCAGCTCCCAGCTGTCTGTAGGGGAGAAGTCCACCAGCTTGGACCAGCCACCAGTGTGCCCAGTGCCACCAGCAGAAAGCAGGCTGCTGCCCTCAGCATCAGTATTAAAAAAACACATCCCCTTTGCTTCTCATAGAAAAGGAAGGGATGAAGCTCAATTTCCAACTTTTTGCATACCAGCAGAGCAATCCAGAGAGCTCTGCAGCATTATCCAAGGCATGGCCACAGCCTTGGATCACTCCCCTACAGACCGTGAATCCATGGGTGCAGCCAAGAGGCAACAGCCTTCCCTGGGAAAGATCCCAAAGACAGAGTAGTTTGAGGTTTTGCTGAGATGGGTGGGAACTCCAGCAGGGAGAGGATTTGGGCCCTGGGCTGCCTTCATGGTGCAGAGCACCCATCACTCACCCTGAGGAGTTGCAGTGGGGACAGGAGGATCCGGGCAATGTCCAGCGCCACGTTGCCATGACCCAGAATCAGCGCTGTCTCACAGCTCAGGTCAGGCTTCAGCTGTGGGGAGAGAAAGACCCAGCTGTGAGTGAATCCACACGGCCTCCATGATGTACAGCCCCTCAGACCTGCTCCCACCACCCAAATTCCCTTCCACCCCTCTTTGTTCCAGACAGAGGCGATGCAGATGGGGAAACTCCACACCAGACACAGCAACACAGATGCTTCTGGCTGATCCCTCTCCCCGTTCTTCCTGCAATGGCATCTCTGGGAGCAGGAGGTGTCTTGGCCAAAAAGCCTCCTCAGGATGCAGAGCATCACCCCTCCAGGTTCCCATCTGGCCCAGCCAAAATATGCTGCCAACGTACAGAGCCAGCTAATCCGCTCTCACTGATGTGCAAATTGTTCACATTTCTACCATCTAAGAAGGATTTAACATGGTTCCTGCTAATCTTTTCCAATTGCAGGCCTTTCAGGACTTAATCTGGAGCTGAATGTCTGCTGGGATGGGAGGAAGGATGGGAGGAAGGGCAGGGAAGCACACGGCTGTACTCACGTCTCGGTTCTCAGGCAGCCCGTTGTACCAGCCCACAAATGCTCGGGCCGAATACACACCGGAGAGGTTCTCCCCTGGGATCCCCAGGACCCGGTTGTCTTCAGCACCATAACTCTGGGGAGGGAGCAGACACAGTCAGAGATGTCACTGTGTGCAGGGTCTGATACCAAAACACAAACTCAGCTGCTGCTGGGGACACTGGACGGCTGCCAACCCTTCCCAAAGGCTGGGATAGTCAGGGGAAGGGCTAAACACAGCCCAGGCACAGGGGCTTCATCCATCCCATCCCCCTGGGCTCCAGGGCCAAAGTTGACCTCCCTGGGGCAAAGCAGAGCATGACAAGATGAGGACTGAGCAAGAGGAACAAATCCATGCTGGGCTGAAACAGGCATTGGCCAGCGCAGGGAAGAGGTTTCAGAGACCTGCACTAGATGCCACGCTCTAGCACATGCAAGGCTTTGGACGAGCCTTGGAGCATCTGAGCTGTCCCGAAGCTGGGAAGAGTCTCCCATGCTAATAAAGCACCCAGAAACGCAAATCCTCTTCCCGAGATGGCAGCAGGGATCTGCAGACCTTCTCTGTGATTTCTGGGACACCAAGGCAGCCCAGGTACCCACCAGCACCACGGCGTGGTACGCCTGCCGCAGCTCCGGCACCGTGACGTCCCTGCCCACGGTGACATTCCCGTAGTAGGCACAGCGCCCCGAGTGCGCCGTCTGCGTGAAGGTGTTGATCACGTTCTGCAAAGATCAGAGAACCTGGAGTTATGTCCAAGCCACAGCTGGGGCCAAGGTCTATTGCTGACACGAGATCCCCGTTCCCATCCCCTCCCAGCCTTGAGATGCTTCTCTCTGCCTCGGTTGGTTATTCTGAGACTCTTATCTACCAACAGCCAAAGATAAGTCACAGGGAGATAAGCACAGCTGTGACTTGGCACTCTCTGCACTGCCCTCTTCGGAAAGGAAAATCCATTTTTTACACCCGCCTGGGGAGGACAGGACCCTTTCAGTGCCTTCAGCCCCTCGGGATAAACCCCACTGCAGGGGAAAACTCCTTCCCAAAGGTGAGGCTTGCAAGGGAGCCCCACCAGCACCACCTTCCATCCAGGGTGCTGCCCACCAGCCCCCTCGGCCAGCCTCTCATCTCAACCCTTCCCGAAAACCACCTCCTCAAGAAAGGATGAGGGCAAGATGGCATCCAGAGCCTTTTCTTCTGAGTAATTTGGGCTACCCAGCAAAACCACCACTTCTCCCCCTGCAGCTCCAGCTGGATTCAGCCTGGAGACAGGACAGATACCACAGACCCAAGCCCACATCTGTTAGGTCCACTCTGCCTCTCTCAGCCCAAAGGGGTCCAGGCATTTTGGTCTTAGGATCTCCAGAGATTAGAGGAAACCACTGCAAGATATTGCTGTGTCTGGATCTCCCGTGTCTGGATCTCCTGTGTCCCACCCCTCCAACCACCTCCACCCCAGGTCAGACACAGCAGACACCTTGAGTACAACTCACTGCCCAGGTGAGCACCTACAGCCCAGTTCCACCACCCCCAACAGCAGATCTGTGTGTTCCCAGAAAAAGTACAGATTAAGGAAGGGCAAACAGCAGCAGCAATGAGCAGGCAAGATCCTGCTGGCATAGTGTCCAGGTACAAAGAAGCCCATCGAGGTTTTCCTTGGCCTTGCTCTAGGCCAGGCTGACCAGCACTGGGAGCAGCACTTCCCACCACAAGCCACTGTTTTTGACCCGCTGTCCAGATGCCAGATATCCCAGGCATCCCATATCACCAGGCCAAGGCCTCAGCACGGAGAAGGAGGAGATCTGGGCCTCTCCAAGTGTGACAGCTCCACACCACAGCCTGGGGACAGCGACTGCCTCGCCTGCACCCACCACTGTCATCACACGGGCAAGGGGAGGGAGCACCAACCTTCACTTCTGGGTGGTCTGGGGCCACCCCAAAACGGACGAGCCCGAAGGGAACGGGCAGCTTCTCGTAGATGTCCACCTGGGCCCCGCCATGGTGCTGTGGGAGAAGAAAGTCACAGTTATGGGATGAGGACAGAAAGGTCACAGGAGCTCAGCAACGTTCATCTGCTGCTGGGGGAAACATGGGGCAGGAGGGAGGGCTGCACCACAATCCTACAGCCAGAAACAGCCTCTTCCAGACTTTTCCATGCACAGGATGATGGTGTGCTTGTTACTGCCAGCTCAGATCCCAAGGTGTGGGGCAGAGAGTGACCCCAACCACCATCAAGTACATCTCGAGAGGGCTCCATTGCCCTACCCACCCCCTCTTCCACACTAACCTGGTGCCTGTCCAGTACCCAGAGGGGGCTGATCAAAAGAGCCCCCAGACCACGTGGGAAGGACCCAGTGCAACACTCTGGGTGCTGGGGAACCTTCCAGACATCTGCCAGTCCCCAGCAGAGATGCCCATGCCCTGAGATCCCCCGGGGCTGAGTCACATCAGGGTCGGAGCTTTAGACAGATGTTTGGCTGCAGGGCTTTTGTTATCTTGTATTTTGAGTCAGCCTCTTCCCGGAGATTAAGCAGCCCTGAAATTTGTCCCTGAGGCTTAGTAGCAGCTATTTTCCAACACGTACCAGAGACAACACAGCACGGTTTAATGATGGGGTTAAGCTGCTGCATCTCTGGTGGGTGCCAGCAGCCCAGTGCTGTGCTCAGGTCTCATTTCCCAGCAGACCTGAGCGCCCAGAGCACTGACACCAGGTAAAGCATCACCCACGTGTCTTAATTCAGCTGGGTGAGGAGGAGGGAGGAGAGCAGGTCCCACACATCCACTTTTAACACACGGTTAATGTCACACCTGCTGGGTGACAACAGCTCCCGGCGAGGCAGATCCCTGCTGCTTATTTGATTCTAGAAAAATCACTTGGGATGAACTCGCAGCAACCAACGTGGGTCTGGTGAGGACGGCCCAGGGTCAGGGCAGGGATGGAGGCAGCCCCAGCCAAAGGGGCCCAGAAGGATGCTGTGGGGTCTGGGCTGCCCCGAGCAGCCCCCCAACAACACAGACCTGGCTGGGGCAGGGTCGCGACCCCACCAAACCACTGCCCAGCTCCCTGAGAGCCAGGCACCACCAGCTCCCTCCCTCAGCTGCAGGTCCCGGCCCTCCCCCCGGTACCTTGAGGATGTGCTGAGCCGTGTAGAAGCCGGCGGGGCCGCTGCCCACCACGCAGACCCGCGGCGCCGGGGCGGGCGAGGACAGCCACCGCCGCAGCCCTGCAGGGGAGAACGACAGGGAAGGCGTGAGGCAGAGAGAGCTGACACCTGCCAGGGGCCACCACAGCCCTTCCCCGGAGCCCGGCACCCACCGAGCGGGGCTCGTCCCGCTGCCATCGCCGCGGCCGCAGCGCAGCGGGGCCGGGCTTTATGTACCGGCCCCGGCGAGGCGGAAACGCCTCGAGGGCAGGGCCGGCGGCCTCGGCGCTTACGGCCAGGCCAGGTTCGGTGGGGTCGGAGGGAGTCGGGGGGTGTCAACTGCCCCGGAGCGCCAGCACTGAGACCTCCTAACCCGAGCTCCGGAGGGGCCCCGCGCCCGGCCCGAGAGGCCCCGCGGCCCTCACTCGCCCAGGGCTGGAGCAGGGGCCTGCGGGACACGGCTGCCGCAGCCCCCCCGGCCCCAGTTCTCTGGATGTCGCGGTCCCGGTGCCCCCCGGTCCCAACACGTGTCCCCCCGGCCCAGCGCCGGTGCCGCCGCCAAGCCCCGCCCCTCAACGCCAGGCCCCGCCCCTCATTCACACAGGCCAATCGTGAGTCGGGACAGCGCTGTGATTAGCATAACCCCGCCCATCCGCCACAGCGTGCCCCCGCCCCACCGCCCCCAGCCAATGGAGGCGCGCTGTCCCCTCCGCGGCTGCCCGGAAGTGAGCGGTACCATAGAGAGGCGGGGAAGGCGCGGCCCTGCCGCGACCGTTCGCGCTGCTGCTCTCTATGGTGAGGCCTCCGCGGTACCCGTCCCGCTTCCGCATCATCATCATCATCATCATCCCCCCGGGGTTAATTGCCGGCGTCCCTTTATTGCCCCAAAGAGATCAACTGCCGAGGTCTGCTGGGGGAAACCGATTTTAACCATCCCCCTGCAGAGCCTCCTCCTGCCCCTTGCTGGGAGAAACCCATTGCACCCCCTCGATAAAGGATAAAACACTAGTGCCGGAGGCAGCGGCAAAATCCAGCCTCCACCATGGTCCCTGCTTTATTTCCTCCTTAATCCCCCTCACTCAGCTCGTTTCAAGTGCAACAACTCCCACCTCCCGTGCATGAGCATCACCCCGTCCTGGTTCAGCCCCTGCACAATGCACCAGCCAGGAAAACCATCTCAGCAGGTCCAGGAGATGTTTAAGAGCTGGACAGATGCCAGGGCACGCAGGCGAGCATTGACAGGGCTTTTTAAACGCAATTAAGAGCAAGAGGAGTTTACAGCTGGAAGCTGGTTGTAATACGGGTCATAAAACCCACACGCTCCCTCTCATGGTCTTGGAAATGGGTTGATGGCTTTCTGCAAAGGCATGCTGAGAACGGCAGCTGGCCCTGTGCCTCCATCTGCTCCCGCCCCCTCGGGGGATCTGGGGCAAGGACCAGGATTTCCGACGGCTCCAAGCACAGCAATCACCAACCCAATACCCAGAGAGGCTCCAAATATCACCGTAGATATAATCCACAGAAACAGTTCAGTTTAAATGTGTGTGGGGGGGTCTGATTACAGGTCAGAATACTCTTTTTTTTCCCCAGAATTCTCCCTTTCCCTCATTAACTTTTGTATCCACCACTTCTGACAAGGAATAATCCACGTATTTCCCAAACCACAAATCGCCTCCTGCTGAAGGACCTGCGAGCACTTGCCTTTAGATGGCACTGCGTTAAACAACACCCACGGAGTCCAGCTGGGAAAAGGGCTGCTGCTCCGACCACTGCTTGGAAACATTTTGGGATGGATCTCTTTGCAGCAGGAGAGGATAAAGAGCATTTTGTGCCCACAAGCGGGAGCACGTGAGGCTGAGATTACCCCGCCTGAACCGAAAGCACCTCTAATGCTCCCTCAGCCCGTGGCTGGAGCCAGGAACACCGTTAACTTGGCACATTGACCTTAATCGAGCTCTGATGCTCAGTTAAGAGATTAATCACAGGGCAGGAGGGCAGCTCTGGGGAGGGTCTCTGCCACCCCTGAGGGACCCACAGGAACTCTTGGGCCATTTGGTTCATCCAGCCCTCCTAAGCTTTCTCCCCACCTACAGACCCAGCCTAACCCCTGCCTAAAGGGGAATTTGTCCTTTGGATGTTTCACAATGTCCTGGATCAATGAACCCACGTGAGGCCAGACAGAGGTGACAATGTCACCAGCCCAGGGCATCAGCATGTCCTGGGCCCCAGCCCAGGACAAATCAGTAATTCCCCATTTCTGATGCCAAAGGGGTCACACTGGATGGATCCAGGGCCAGTTTTCCCTGCCAAAAGTCTGGATCTGTTACACAGGGACACGCCACGGCCACACCAGCTCTGGCCCCAAGTCACAGTGGCCACACAGGGACACTTTCCCAGTGGGTCAGAGGATGTCCTTGCACTTGGTGGTGGAGAAGGGGGCATGTGATGCCCATAGGAGGGAAAACACCATGGACTGCCTGCTGCAAACATCACCCTGCCATGGGCCAGAAACAGGGCAGAGCATCCCTGTGCCTTGGGACACATTTGCAACAGGGAGCCTTATAAATCCCGGCTGTGAGACTGTTGGGGTCCAACCCAGATGAGAGGACAGCCCAAATCAGGGAGCAAAGCCCCAGGCTCAGAGCAAAGCCACACTGGTCCCACTTTGGCCAGCTGCCCTTTCTGCTGTGAGGTCCCCACCATGACACTGGGCTGAACTTTGTCATCGGTCTTGCAGGTCTGGGACAGCAGAGCACCCTGGTAAAGCCAGACACAGCAACCCAGAGGGGGTTGGAACCAGCTATGTGAGCATCCCAGCCCCTGGCAGCAGTGCTGTGGGCAGAGTTCACTCTCCCTAAACAGGGAAAGTCTCCCAAGCCCTGGACATCTACCTGCATCCAACAGGTTATTCCCCTGCAATAGGAATGACCAGGTCTGGAGTCAGCTCCAGCACCCCAATACAGACAACCCCCATAGGGTGAGGGCCTTTCCCCCAGCCCCACCCCAGGCACCATGAGATACCCGTATGACTTGTTACAGCAACAAAACACAATAAAGAAAATCCACCTCAAAGTGTTAAGGCTGAATTTGCCAAACCATTGTTCCTAAAAGGGACTGATTTAGCCCAAAGTCAGGCAAAGCACAAGCAGCAGTGACACAACCCCCTCCCCACCATCCATCCCTTCCCTGAGCCCCCAGCCACACAGTGGCAGCTCCATCCTACAGATCCTGGTGGTTGTCAGTCCTGGATGTCCTGGACACAGTGCTGCACCTCTCACAGAGGGGGGGTTTCCTCTCCCCAAGCGTGAAAGCAGAGTGAATAAAACTAAACCCTGGCTGGGAATAACTGTGGGGGGACCCTGATCCTTCTGTCCCCGGTGTTGCACCGCCTGGCTCTCCTGCAGTGTCTGTGCACTGTTTTCTAGCCAAAAGCAAGACATCGGGGAGGGACGTTTCCCACACGATGGCTTTGTGGAAGTGTTGGTCTGTGCAGCCCCAATCCTGCTAAAACCATCCCTGCTGCAAGTCCCTGTGGGAAGCACCCCCCCGAGTCCTGCAGCCCTCACTGGATGCCCACCAGCTCTGTGATGGGGGGAGCGTGGACCATCAGCTCCTCGTATCTCTGGAGGAAGAGCCGGAGCCTGGAGCTGTAGGTGTCCTCGTTGTAGGGCAGCTTCTTCTGCTTCAGGTACTGGGAGACAATGGGCTTGATCTGCAAAAGAAAAGGCAACGTCACCTCTGTGTGGGATACCCTGGTGTTTGGACAATGTTCCCAGCATGAGGCACCCCAAAAGGAGCCCAGAAAACCCATCCCACATGCCCAAAGCACGGCTGGAGAAGGCAGCACCAAGCCATAACACCTTTGCCATGAAAATTAAGAGGAAGGTGGTTTCCAGTTGCAGCAACACAGGGAGTTCACCTTGGCAAAATGCCTTTGTAGGGCTCTGAATTAGGAGAGGTGCCCTAATGAGAGCCAGCCACACATGCTTGGCACTCACACCCATAGTTATCCCCATGTGCCCACACAGCCGGCTCGGCAGCGGGGCTGGGAGGTGCCACTACGTAATTACCCCCTTCTCTGCAACATGTCTGTGTGGGAGACAGGTCCTGCCAGCCCTGTGAGCTTGAGCAAAGGGCACTGAAAATAAGGGCACAGCATTAAACAAGTGGCGATCCTGTGCCGAAGGACACGGACCTGTCTTGGGATCCCCTCAAACTGGGGAAGTGCTCAGAGCCCCTTTAGAACACACTCCACACCTCAGAGCAACAAGTAAGGGCATGACCAAAATTCTAGGAGGTTTGCCTGGATGCTGGCTGAACCAAAAATCAGACTGCGCAATACTTGGGATACTTTCCCAGCAAAAGAGCTGGGAGGATCCTGGACTGCTGGAAGGCTGCTTCGGGCTGGAACTGCGACAAGGAGAAGGGGCAGGGAGCAGAAACCCAGGAGAAACAGGAATGGGATGGAGGGAGGTCGGTTAGGGGCTGCCAAAAAGCAATGAGAGGTGTCTGGAACAGGGGGAATGCAGCACCAGAGAGGTCTGGCGGCAGGGAGAGGAGGTGGTGGAGAGGTGGGTGGTCTCATCCCCGTGTCACTTCCCAGCACTCTCAGCCACCCTGCAGGCCTGTCTCACCTTCAGGCACATGTTGTCGGAGAGGCTGGGGAAGAGGTGATGCTCCACGTGGCAGCTGATGAGCGAGTGGCCGAAGGACCAGTCGAGGAGGGCGTTGCGGGGCAGGTTGAGGACGCCCAGGCTCATGAGGTGGATCCGCTTGGGTTTGCGATCGGCCGCGAACATGGGGAGGCCGATGTGCTGCGGGACAGGGGGGATGGGGACCCTGTGGCACCCATCACCTCCCCAGACTCTTCCCAGCAGAGCCAATGGCAGCCCTGGCAGTGCGTGGGCCAGGCTGAGCCACATTTTGAGGTTTGACTGCAAACCCCAGAGCTGGGTTTGTCCCTAAAGTCACTCCATCTCGTGCTTGTCTGTCCATGGACACCAAGGAGCTCCCCCAACTCACCCACACTTTAAGCCACAGGCCTCTTCCTATCTCAGGACCTGTAACACCACCTGCACCAACACCTGCAAACACACCAACCCTCCCAATCCTGAAAGCCACTGCAGACAACATCACCCTCCTGTACTTCACACCCACGTGGCCTGATATTCTCCCAGGGCCACCACTTCCCACCCAGCACCACCAGCCTGATCCTCCCGGTGACAACATCAGCACAAGGGAGGTGACAACTGAGGCTATGTCACCAGCACTGGGTGGTCACTGGCCTGTCTCCAGCACTGTTGAGATATCTTGGAGCTTCAGGTCTCTACCTGGAATATGTTGACGTGGATGTAGGGATGTGCCAGGAGGGAGCGGGTGAGCAGCATGCAGAGCAGGGCGGACCACGGCGACTGGAAGCCTGAGATGTGGAGCAGCAGCCAGTAATGGCAGTAAAAACCCAGGAACATGCAGCAGAGAGTC